AAGAACAAGGAACTAAAAGGTAATAGCTACTATTACAAGTTTACCTTTAGAAATATAGAGTGCTCCTAGTACAAGAATCCTAAATTCCCTATTACTATTACTTTCTTAGTTAATAAGAAAGTAGAAGGTTTAGTAGATACTAAGCAAGTTATAGTAATATAGATTAACCCTCCTTAAGCCCTTACTACTATAGATAAATTTATTATATACAATCTGCGCGTAGTTAACTATAAGTCTCCTTTAGAGGAATACGCGTCCTATTTTAAGCTACCTTGTTTAGAGTAATCTATAGAGATCTATAAGATAGCCTAGTAGCTAATTATAATAATCCTAAGAGATAAGGGACGTAGGGAGCTCTACTAACCTTTAGATAACAAGCTTATATTAGAGGTCTATTTTATTATAACTAATATACCTAAGTAATATAGTACACTATCCTAGGGCAAGATACCTAGCCTTATAGACCGCTTAGCTATTACAAGGTAATAGTAGGTAAGTATAAACTAGCTTAAGGCTATCCTACTCTAATCTAGTTAGGTGTTTTTAATTAGAGAGGTCCTAGTTACTAAAGCCTAGCTTAATTAGGTTTAGTAGTCTACTAATAAACATGCTATAGTAGTTGCCTTACTAACCTGCTAGGCGCGTAAGGATAAGAGTAATAAGCTAGAATAGTCTAAAGCTTAAAAACAGGCTTACTACTAGGAAACTTAGCTCTACTATTATAAGGTAGTGCCTCTAAAGCTAAATATCTTTAAGTAGATAGAAGCGGCTGTAAACTTTAGATAGAATAAGAAGACTAGAGTAAAAGCTACTATCTATAAAGACCCTATAGAGTGTTCTTTTCTAGGCCTCTACGTTAAATATAACTTTATAGACCCTAGTTGCCTAAAGGAGTAGCTAAGCTATAAGACTAAGGTTTACCTAACTTACTACAACGCCTATCTCCCTAGAGAGTTTCCTATTACCCTAGGAAAAGAGAATAGTTACGCATAAGATTAATATAGGCGCTCTACTTATATCTAGGATATTATAGACCTATACTAGAAACCTACCTTATAGGCACTCTTCCCTTATTTTATTAATATTAACCCTAGGTACATTAACGCGCTATACGCTTTACTTATAGTAGGGCACTATCTAATACTAGTTTATATTCCTACTAATAAGCTACCTTTTATAGCTAACTTGTTTACTAAAAAGATAGATATACTAACTTCTTATAAGAATCTTTAGATTATTATGTGTTACGCTCTATAAATCTATATACTCTTTTATAGGACTAATATTTTGCCTATAATTTAGTTAATCCTTAACTAATTTAACTAGTCTATAAAATACAACCTATTAATAATAATATATAAGAATCTACTTAACCTATCCCTAACTAATAAGGGTGTTAAATAGATAGAGATACTGCCTAAATTTGTTATAACCCTAAAGTAGGCATTTAAGACGTTTAACTCTTTTTAGTACTACGCAGGACTTAGCACCCTAATTAAGCAATATTTTAGCATGCAGAATTATAAATATAAAGGGGTTGCTACTATCTATCCTATCCCTAACACCTAATATAATAGACTTAACTAGGGTATCTATATCTATTTTAAGGAAGAAAATATAGACAAATCTGTCCTAAAGCTTACTACTAGTAATTACATTTAATTAGACTTTAATAATTTCTAAGATATAGTCTCCCTAGCTATATAGAATAGGAGAGTAGTTCCCCTAGGTCTAGCTATAGGAATAGGTTAGGTTTGTATTATTACCTATTACCCTTAGGATAAAGAGAGTAGCAGCCTAGCAGATTAAAAGTAACAAGTATCCCTAATAATTTAGTAAATAGGACGCTTATTATAGAAAAAGCTTTAAGCTTAGGTATAGCTCTAATACACTACGCTAATTATAGTCTTAGTATAAGGTAAGGATAAGGAATATAAGAGACTAATAAATAACCTTACAAATATAATAGTCCTACGTAAATTAGTTCTATTATTTAGGAGTAAGGAGGAGGTCCTAACCTAGTTCTATAATATACTTCTATATAAGGACTATTAATACTACTAAGATTTAAGCTTATATAATTACCTAGCACTAGGTGCTATAGATAAGTTCTAGGAATAGCTGTTCTCTATTTTAAAGGATTATTAGTGGAACCTAGTAAGGATATAGAGGGACAATAGATTACGCACAAAGATAGCAATCCTCTTAGGAATCTCTAGGTTAGGCAAGATATTTACTAGTATTACAATGCTCCTTAGATATACCCTTATAATAAAGGTTAATTCTTATAAGTAAATATAATAGGACTTAGAGTATATAGTATATATAACTAAGTAGCCTATTATAGTACCTAACGCTACTAAGAAGGCAGGATAAGACAACTAGGCGATATAGGACAACCCTAAGGCTAGGGAAATCTAGGATAATACTAATACTAAAGGTTAATAGGATAATAGGACAATTATAGGCAAGGATAACAAGCAGATTACTTAATAGGATAGCGCTAAGGATCTAGGCAAGTTAGAGGTTATAGATACACTTAGAGATAATAATAAATTAGGGCACAATTTAGACACGTTAAAGCGTTTATCCTACACTAGAATCCTAATCTAGAATAATGTTAATAATATAGTTATTAATAGCAATCTAATAATTAAGCTACTAACTATAGGGTGTAACAATAGTAACCTTAATAGATAGAAGCTAGGTAGGGTAACCTACTATTTAGTATAGAATAAGATAGTAGACTATAATTATAAGACCTTTTTATCTATTATAACTAAATACTATAAGGATATAGGACTAGCTAAAAAAATAGTAGTCTACTACTATTTAAAGCCTTCTAAACTAAAAGCCCTAACTACTATATTAGACCTAGGATTTAGGGAGGATAGATTAGGTCTTCCTCTATTCTATTAGGAACACTAAGACTCTAAAGGTTAGGCTAACGTTAATATCCTTAACTATTACCTATAACACTTCTAAAACTAATACACAGGTATTATAGATAAACACTTTAATATAGTAGAGGGTTCTATTATATACTACCTATATTAGCTAGCTAGAATAGATAGAATACCCCTATTAGAAGAGGTCCTAGGCACCTAGTTAGGGGATAAGTTAGACTTTATCGCGGATAAACTAAAAGATATCTAAACAGCAATAACTAATATAGATACTACACGTTAGCTAAGCAAGGAAGCTAGGAAGGGTATTAAGACTACTTTTAATAAAGGTTAGTAGGTTATTATATAATTAGTAGTAGTAGTGTATTATACTACCTTAGTTATAAATATATATAGATTTTAGATTATCTAACAGGCTTATATAGTTTGCCTAGAAGAAAGTAGCTAGGCTAGAGACCTTAAGATAGCTAGTTTTATAAGTAACTATTAGGACTTAGAAATATACATCTTTATAGGAGACTAGCACTAGCTAGGACCTTAACCTTTTAGACTATAGCTAGATAATCTATTTTAATTGCAGATTAGCACCTCTACCTTATACTAACTAAGTAGTATAGGCTTTCTAATCTAAGTATTAAGTTAAATATCTAGGTTTACTAACTAGACGTTACTTATGCTAGCGCTCTAATTAAATAATATAATAGAGGTAAGCGCTATACTAGGATTATTTAACCCTAAGCGCAAGAAGAAGGCGTGCTATATTAACACCTAGATATAGGGAATTAATAATACACTAGTAGTAGTTAATACTATAGATATAATACTAGTCTAAGATACCTCTAGATTATAGTACTATATAGATACAGCAATTATTACTTTATATAATCTTACTTAATAACTCTAAGAGGTACTAGTAGAATAGGTATTAGTGTTGTCCCTATATAATGTATATAACTACCTACTACTAGTAATAATTAATAAAGCTACTAAGGAAGCCTACTACGTAGGAAAGACTATCCTTACTAAGCGTCTTTAAGTAGTCCTAGTCTTTACTATTAACTCCTTAATAGGTAAGGATTATTAGTTTATAATCTTTAATACTACTAGATATATAGAGGAATTCTTCTAGAAATAACCTTAGATACTAGTTATAGGAACCTAAGCTAAGACCTTGCTAGTAATTATAGCACTAATATACAACATTACTGCAAGCCTACGCTTCTAGTTTAACTACCTTAAGCGTTTATTCTATAAATAGGGAGCTTTAGGATATTACATTATAAAAGTTAATTTATTATAATAAAATAGTTTTACTTAATACCCTATAGTGTGTAAAGCCCTTAATATCTATAGATATAATATTAAAAAAAGCCTATATAACCCCTCTAAAGCCCTAATAGGTGTCTACTATAAGACTATTACTACTAAGCATTCTACTACCTTATAAATAGCTATTTAAGCTACTATAGATTTATACCTAAAGGATAATAATAAATAAGATAGGTATAAGTCTACTACTACTACTATTATAGGGGAGCCTAGTAAAGGGTTTTAAGAGTGTTGCAGCAGTTAGACTAGTTACTATTTAAGGATTTTCTTACAAGGACGTTTACCTTATAGAAGGGGGCAGATACTATATTATAAACGCCTAGGTCACGTGTAACAGGCTTAGCCTCTTGGCGGTGCTTGCCTATAGATAGCTCCTATCCTCCTAGACTAGGACAATATGATGACATTACACACTGCATTTAGGCCCTCCTCATCGTCGGATATTGCATCCTTCTCGCCATCTGGCCACGCTGCTCCATCTTCCTTCTCCGCAATATCCCACAAGAACGAAATTGTTTTGTATTGGCCATGAGGATCATGTTAGGGATCATAATTGTTGAGCTTAATAGTCGTGCCGCTATGTTCACATACCCAAGTTGAGCGACTTCGCGAATGATAGGTCAAAAGTACAAGTGAAGATTTTAATTGTCGTGTTTTAGAATGGTATCAGTACAATGAGTTTCCTGATTTGATTGTGACATGTTGTGGGTAGTTTTGTGAGCGCGCATTGTGCGTAAAAAATAGCAGCAGGTTGAATGAGCAATCATGTCCTTTGCTAACGTCACCGACAAGGTTGCTTCAGACGTTCTAGACATTATGGTATTGTTGCAGGGCCAAGTACCTGTCGATTTGAAAACTACAAACGGCGGCCAAAATTCGATGTGACTGAGCGCCAGAAGGAAAGACGTGACTTCCAAGGGTGACTGGCAAAGCACATATTTGCAGCAAATCTGGTATACAACCATTGAACGATGCATACCACATGCGCCATAACCTCTAGCAACTCTACCAAAGGAAGTCAAAAAGGACATCGTATCCTATCGACGACCAGCATACACAGAGAAACGATATGGAAGAACCAGATGGTCTTCTGTCAATCTAACCAGCAGATGCTGTCCTTAGCTTGATATCCATCGGATAAAGGAAGTATCTTTGAGGTTCTGGCCTTTTCGATGTTCGATCGTGGCATATACAATGTCCATGAATGTTATGCAGGTTCTTTAGAGAAGGGGAATAGCTCAGAGTGTGACTCTGGACGAGTCACCTTTGATGCTACGCGTAACCTGGACATCAAGATCGTTTTGCACATGTTGATTGAGTGTAGTAGCGATGCGTTTACCGTGATTTTGTTGCATGAACACTCATAGTATAGCTGAACCTGAAAATTTGATTTTCTAGACTTACAACGGTTTCTCAGCTGAATATAGACCAGATCGGATGCTTTGACAGCGACATGGGTCATTTGGTTCCTTGTACGCTAGCCCCATGCTCTGGCTCGTGGTGAATGCGCTCTA